GAAGAAGAATGAAAAACTTATTAGAAAATTAAAATGCTATAATTTTAAAAATATTTTTTCTAAGATATCTTTGTGAAATTTAATTTTGTGTGGTGGTGAACACCAATATTATTATTTACCTAGTTGGTCAAAAATTAAATATGAGACATGATATTTTTACTTTTTTATTTTATTTATCTATTAGTTGTGAGATCTGTATGCTATAAAGTATGATGTTATAATAAACATACGAATAAAAATACATTGTTATTTATTTGATTTAACCCATTTTTTTTATAAACATATAAAACGACCACTTAGTTATACATTAATTAGTGTGTTACTAAATCATCTGTATGAATCAGGATAAGGTGTGTAATTTATTTATTTGTATTTATGTTAGTCAAATCAAAGTCAATGCTGCTAAAAAATAAAAAACAAGAACTTTTATGTTTTGATTAGGGTGTTGCTAATAAGATACCCATTGGACACCCCCATTAACCACTTTTTAAAAAGTCAGTCTATAATTAACTATTTATAATCATCTTTTTCGGAAAAAATACAATTTCAACCAATAAAAATATTTCAAAATAAAACTAAGGTGTCTATATGGTAAAATGGGGTGTCTTTTTAGCCAACCCCTTTTATTATATATAAATTTATTGTAGGCATCTCGAATTATATTTGCTACAGATAGGCTTGACAATCGGGTCGTGTTCGGGTTGGCGTGTCGCGGGTTGACGGGTCGCAGGTTGGCGGGTCAAAATATGTCAACCCAAACACGACCCATTTAAATATACAGGTCACGTGTTGGCGGGTTTGGAACATAAACTCATATATGACCCGCCAACCCATTTATTTATACGGGTTCACAGGTTGGCGGGTTCATGGGCTTCACCGCTTCAGCCTTCAGGCGTCAACGTCGTTTGTGATTTCGATACACGATTTGATTTCGTACATGATTTCGATCACAGAGTAACAGATGGGAGAGTGAGACTGTGGGAGACCGGGTGACTGGAAGTCTGGAAGAGGGAGATATCCTCATACGCGATTTGATTTTGAGATTATTATTTAGGGCAACTGGGCAAATGGTTACAGACTTAGCCTTACAGGTTACGACTTACGACCTTAGGCCATCCACCATGAGTCAAAATGTCAAAACAGTCAAATGGTCTATGAATCAATGGTATATATTATATAATTCTTATTAAATATTAATACTTGATACATAAATAAATTTAAAAATAAAATAATTTTTTTATTAAAAATATAAACGGGTTGACGGGTCAACCCGTTTATTTTTTGAGAAACTCATATATGACCCGTTTAATAAACGGGTTGACGGGTTGAAAAACTCAACTCAAACCCATTTATTTCGTGTCGTGTCGCGGGTTGTGTCGAGAATTGACAGCCCTAGCCACAGATGATGATGAACCTGCTCAAGCCTTAGCTGAAGAGCTTTCATGCCGCCTTGGAAAACAAAGATTTTTTTTTAAAAAAAAAAAATAATTTTTATATTCGTCCATTAGCAACATACTACTTTTGCATTGAGACACATTGTGGAAAATTCCAAGTTATACGAGGAACAAAAAGTCTACACTGCTGTTTATAAAAAAAAATTAATCAGCTCATCTGTTGAATATTTTGCAATAGTTGGAAGTGAAGGTTGCTGAATGCAATTAAATCTAAGTAGAATGTGTAGATGGATTATTCAATTTATGTTGCATTAAAAATGTTGTTTTATTTTTGGAAAAATTACAGAAAATTATAATGTATTTTTATCATTTTATTGATTTACTTAACCATAGCTATGTGATAATATAGTTTATTTTTCAATTTTTTTTTAAGTTGTCATGTTTTACAATATAAAAAATAGTTGTCATGTTTTACAATACAAAAAATAATTTATAAAGTAGTTTTTTACTTAGATTAGCTTTTTAAAAGTTTTCTTTCTTTTTTTTTATATTTTTTTTCTAACATATACCCTTAATTAATTATAAAAAAACATATACTTCTAAATGTCAACTTATTTCGTTTTAGACAAAATTGCAAAAATGGTCATTGTGGTATCCAATTTTTTTGGGTTTTAGTCCAAACTCCGAGTTTTTTGGATTCATAGTCCTTTTGGAGTTGTTTATATGTGGAAATGGTCCCTAGATTTAACTTCCGTTAAGTTGTTGCTATTAACCCCCTCATGTGTTTCCCACATGAGGGCATATTTGTCTTTTCACTTCTAAGAGACCATTTTTGCAATTGAAAAAAATATATTACCATTTTTATTAAAAAAAATTAATACCTATTTATTTATTTTAATAATAAAAAAATAAAAGATCTCTCTCTCTCTCTCTCTCTCTCTCTCTCTCTCTCTCTCTCTCTCTCTCTCTCTCTCTGCACCTTCAAACTGGGGCAACTGTTCCTTCAAAGATCTTGCAAACCCCAATCCTCAAAAACTCAAATTCCAGTTTTAATCCAAATGGATTTTCATCAGTCAATCGAGACTCAACAAAAGTCTGTCTACCAATCTGATCCATCAACCTCTGGTTTCCAGTCTTAGCCATTGCAGCACTATGCATCGTAGCAACAACTTTCTTGCTCGTTTCCTACTACTTTTTCGTCACCAGAGGCTGCTTCAACTGGCAACAAGTGAACCCATTAAGACGCTTTTCCATGTCCCAGGAACGATCCACACCCGACCCGTTATCATCTCCATACTCGACTCCTCCATGAAGCATCAGAATAGCAATAAATGTCGTATTACCCCCAAATTTTCTTCTAAATCCTTTAAACCCAAAACTGAAATCCATCACACCTACCTTGAAACCCATGAAATTTCAACATCTAGGTCTTCCCATGTCTGTAGTGGAGGACTATTCTCAAATGCTTAAGGAGGTTGTACAGTACAAGTATTTGATTTTCTACACAATACATAATTCGTTCTTGTGTTATGTCACAACACAGGTTCGTATCCCATCTCTTTTGACAATTAAGGGTAGGTGTAGGGTTTCAATGTGCTCTGTTACCTAGAAATTTATGGATCATTAGTTATCGTACATTAAGATTGGTCATCAATGTTGATTCATATAGAGAGCACTTACGATTTCACGAATCAGAGGCTTAAGAAACGGTACAAGGGCATGAACATGCCTGATGAAACGTTGTAGTGTTTGGATTATCATCAGTTCTCCTGCCCTCATACACAACAAATCATACCATTCTTATAACAGGGACATATCTAAATCAAGCAACAATTTTTCATTTCGTTGAGAAAACCTTCCAATTTCATCTAACTGTTATGCAAATAATGAGAAAAAAACCACCGAGTTCAACGATTTTTTCTAGGTATTTTTTTTTCTCGGTGTTTTTTTTCATCTGGGACTGAATTAATTCCCAGGAAGAAGAATATGGGAATGTGTAGGTTGGAATTAAGAGAGAGAGAGAGAGAGAGAGAGAGAGAGAGAGAAATCTTTTATTTTTTAATTATTAAAATAAATAAATAGGTATTAATTTTTTTAAAAAAAAGAGAAAATTACTAATCTAACCAAATTCATTAATGACTTCTCACTTTTTAGCCAAAATTTAGGACTTATTTCAAAATAGCCATCGAAACCGTAGGTGGTTAAAATCCTTACTGTTTCGCCCATTTACCTACGGTTTTGATTTTAGTATATAATGATTTTTTTTTTCATTTTTCATTACGAAACCGTAGATGAAAAAATGGTCTACGGTTTCCTCTGAGAAGTCTATTGTTTCCCAAATAGTAGATTAAAAACTGTCTACTGTTTCGTCCAAAACCTACGGTTTTGGGTTTTTTATTTTTTTAAGATGAAAAAAGAAACACTAACTTTTACTCTAAAAGAGATTTTTCTTTTAATATATACTAGGTACGATATAGCAGTCAAATACCCAAAAAAACCCCAAAACCGTAGGTTTTTAGACGAAACAGTGGATCATTTTTAATCTACTATTTGGGAAACAGTAGACTTCTCAGAGGAAACAGTAGACCATTTTTTCGTCTACGGTTTCGTAGTGAAAAATGAAAAAAAAATCCTTATATACTAAAATCAAAACCGTAGGTAAATGGGCGAAACAGTAGGCCATTTTAACCACCTACGGTTTTGATGACTATTTTGAAATAAGTCCTAAATTTTGGCTAAAAAATAAGAAGTCATTAATAAATTTGGTTAGATTAGTAATTTGCCCAAATGGGAATATATTTTTTTCAATTGCAAAAATGGTCCCTTAGAAGTGAAAAGACAAATATACCCTCATGTAGGAGGCACATGAGAGGGTTAACAGCAACAACTTAACGGAAGTTAAATCCAGGGACCATTTCCACATACAAACCACTCCAAAAGGACCATGAATCCAAAAAACTCGGAGTTTGGACTAAAACCCCAAAAAATTGCATACCACAGGGACCATTTTTGCAATTTTGTCTTCGTTTTATATCAGTTTTACCAAATGTTATTTGTTATTTTTATCAACTAGTTTATAAGTTTTTTGGTTAACATATAGTTTTTCAACAATTTGCTAGTTTTTTTTTTTTTTTTTTTTTTTTTGGCTTGTATACGCTAGGAACTAGTTTTATCAATAATCAGTTAGTTTTATCAATAATCAGTTAGTTGTACGCCAAACATAATTTAAACATTCATAAATCTTTCACATTTCACAAAAACCAATTTTCCTAGTTACCTGATTTTGGAAAATGATTAAATACAGAAAAAATACACCGTATTACCATTTTATCGACTTTTTAGTCATTAAAATGTCGTTCTAAATTGAAAATAATTCTATTAAGTTCCAAACAACAAAACTATTAAAATGATTTAGAAAATGGAAAATATAAATCATTGTAGTGAAAATCACAATTCCAAAATATAATTATGCAAAAACTCTATGAATCTCAAACTACATGCAAACATTTTCTAATTTTACATGATAACAAAAATGAAACAAATTTCAATCAAGTGCACACTTGTTGTCATAATGCAAATTAACCCTTGCCTTTTCCAGCTTGAAGAGATTGAATCCTTTGCTGTAACTTATAAATCTGTAAAAAGTAATTTTTTTTTTTTTTTTGTCAATTCTTAGATAACTATTGTCATTTATGAGCATCATCTAAATTATAAAAACTCATGATGAAGAGAGAGAAAGGCGACACTAACCGCTTCTTTCTTGCTATTTTGCTTTTCCTCCATATCCTCAAGAGTTGAATCCAGACGTTTCCTGTTGTACAAAACTAATATTAACAAACCAAAAATTAAAAAATAAACTTGGATGTATCATAATCAAAGTCCCCTCTACATCTGTTTTAACATAACATTGTTCCATAAGATCTCTATGCCCTAAACCCTAAATTAGTTATACAAACATATAGATTAAAGAAATTAGAGGTTTTGTGCACAAAAAAAAACGAATAATGAGTTGTGAAAACATGCACCCATAAATATGATAATTTAAACTTACAATTCAGCTGAAATATATTCAATTCTCTTGCGAACATTTGCATTTGCCTCAGCTAGATCTTGCTTTACAAGCACTGGTCCTATTAATTTGTACACATTTGCATCCTCATTCAACAAATCCAATTCCTGTAAACAAAAAAGAGAAGCATTAAATCACAATGATAAAATGCTAGTAAAACGGCATAGTAATATTAGAGTGAATTGCTAAAAGAAAAAACGAAACCCAAATTTGAAAACATTAAAGAGGGAAACCTTAAGGACAAGTTCATTTTCACCAAGCTGGATGGTGTACTTCTTTCTGACTTGGTGGTTCTTGGATATGTCTGTAAGATGTCAAAAATCAAAACATTAATTTATAATTCATTTCATTCAGTAATAGTAATGATGTTATGTTATGTGGATGAATCGCAGGACTTGCCCTTTTGGATTTTGCTGAGATCATTGGCTTTCCCCTCCAACTCTTTCTGTAGTTCTCGTGACGAAGCCATTACTGAGTCTATTTGGCAAAGCTTATTAAAATTAAAATAGCTTTTAACTTATTAACTTATAGCTTATTATCATATAAGCATCCTATGAATATAACAGGTTTAACATCTAGGTTACAGATTTAACATTGGCAAACTTTTATATGGTTCAGTTTGGTAATTAATCTTATTTCCTGTTCTTATGATTTAACATCTAGCATCCTACAATCATATAACAGAATTGAAAGATAAACAAATTTCACAGCTCTTATGCATCAATTGATAATAGAATTGAAGAATAAAGCAAGGAAAAAAATCGACATCAAGGGAGGGATAGAAAGCAGGAAAAAAACGACACAGTGAATGTTTCGATTTTACAACTCTTATGCATCAATTCATAAATTCAGTGAACCAACAAAGTATTCTAACACAAACCAGGGAAAAGAAAGGAAGAATAAAGCTAGGGAAAAAAAATCGACAGCAGGAAAAAACGAAGATAGCAGGAAAAATTGATCAAAAACGAACCTAGGAGTGGGGTCGACGGTCTCCAGTGATGCTGTGGGGGTGCGACGGTCTCCGGCCGGTGGCTTCACAGGGGAGGTCTCGCTTGGAGGAACTGATCGACAGATGGAGACGTCTGTTAAGGTTATTAGGTTCAAACGGTGAAATAAAGATTTTTTTTTTTTTTTTTAAATGGATATCTAAGTTATAAAAATCATTTATTAAAGGAAAAACTATAAAAAAAATTACATTTTTGACCCAAATTTCAGAATTTTGTTATACTTTTGACCCAGATTTCTAATTATTTTTACAAATTTAGTCTAAAATTTACATTTTTGGCCCAGATTTTAAATTTATTACAAATTTGATCCAAAATTTACCTTTTTGACCTAAATTTCAGAATTTTGTTATAAATTCATCCCAACTTTAGTTTTTTTTACAATATTTTTTCTCAAAAAAAAAAATTCAAATATATTTTTTCTTTATAAAATCATATTTATACAAAAAAAACATATTTTCACATAAAAAGTCTTATATTTTCTATATAAAAACTTTTTTTTTTTAAAAAACTTTTCTGTATACGAAATACATATTTATAAAAATATGTATTTATTAAGTACATAAATATATACAAATCTATTTTTATAATATATATATA